TAACAGTTAGTGTAAGAGAGCAAGTCAAAATCCCATTGATTTCATTTCGTTTTATTAAGTGTGCGTCACTGAGTGTTGCGGGATGTTTGGTGTGTATTTCATTTGAACGACTTCATCGTAAATATATCTACTGTAACATTAACTAGATTAATAGCTCTTCTCTCTGCTGTCTTTTGAGGTGTTAAAATGCGCATCCACAAACAGCCAGGCCACGAGTGTCTGTTTTTGTGGGAAAGTAGCAGATATGTGTGTGTGTTCGGGGGGTGGGGGGGGTCGATCCGTCAGCGGGTGTACTTTTGTTAAAATCGGAACTCTCTCGCCCGACAGCGTTCAGATCACATAATCAGAACAGAAGATCAGAGGTCAAACTGGGCCAGCTGACCTATTCCTCCCCTTTCAGGCCTTCCTCACCTCCTCTTTACTGCCTCAAAGTGTCTCACTGTAACAACACACCACCCCTGACACACACACACACACACACACACATCAATGAGAAATACAGTGCAGCCTCCAACCACAGCATATAAAACTGCATCCTCTATCCATTAGCCATAACTCAGTATTCCTCACAACACGTATAAAGTACAGTCAAACGCACAGTTTTTATTCCGAGTCTCAGTCCTTTTTTTTTTCCCACACTCAGCTCTGACATAGCTTACAGCGTCGCTCGCATTAACAAAGAGAACCACCATTTCTACATATTTGTCTCTCCTTTTTTTTTTTTTTTTTTTTTTTTTTAAAAAAAGGGGTTTTATTTAGCATAAATGTTGAAGCCAAGGGTGCCCGGCTGCCATGGCAACCAAATTAAACGGAGGATCTCTTCAGAAAGCAGAAATCTAAATTATTCGGACTCTTTTATGAAGGGGAAAATGAAAATTCTTTCCACTGTACAGAAACTGCTTCAGTGTAAAAGCAGAAGAAAGGAGCTGAGAGCGGGAAGAAAATGATGAAGAAAACGTCTTTGTTTTTTTGGGGGGGGGGATCTGACCATGTAGTTCAAAGGCATATCTCTTGCTATTGAAATTCATAGGTTGTCTCATGACACTGAGCATATTGTGCATGAAGGAATGATGTAACCGCAGTGTCTCTACAACACGAGATAAACCTATTGCGTTTGAAAGACGCCGCGTTTTGTGTGTCTGCAAATCCTCGATGAAAACCAAACCAGGCGCAGGAATGATGAAATCCATAGGATGGAAGCTCGGGATTAGTTGCGACTTGTTTCTGGTGCCGTAAATGATGATATCTGTCCGGGCAGAGGGCTGTTTAAGGATAACACCACCAGCACAGGCCAGTCAAAGCTCAATATTTAAGTGGGGATTACGGGACACATTTTGATTAAGTGTTTTTAAAGACTGTTTGCATTTGGCTCAATTATCTTTTTTCACTCTACCCCACGTCTTGGATGTGTGGGTATCTATTTATGGGTATACATCAATAAATTAGAATATCCGTTTCCGTTTCCTCCTTAGGTTAAGGTGTTTGTGACATTGTCTGTGGTTCAGGAATATGTTTACACATTGAGCCCATGTCCTGTGTGTAGGGGCTCTTGGAGCATTGACTTCATGCTGTAGTCCACATCTTGTGATCGTCTATAAAACTCTTGAAAAATATATTTTTCACACTTACCTTTTATTCAACTTCTCATTAAAACCTTTTGATACAGCACTCTGTGAACAGCCAGCTTCTTAAGTGATGACCTGTGATTGAAACCTACATGTATGTGATTAATCTAAACTAAATAACTCAAATAAGAGCTTATTTTTTTATTGAAGCTCATCTGCATTCTTAAAAAAAAAAAACATAAACTCTGCTGTACAACAGACCCCTTCCAGTCACTCTTATGTAAAATACCTGCAAATTTACACCTTTTTTTTTTTTAAAACAAGTTTGACATTCCTGACGTGACCCATTTTCCATAAGACTAAATCGAGCGTCTCGCGATTGATTCATTGTTACTGTATGGCTGCGAGGAGGGCTGACATGTTCCATCTGTGGACGTTCGTCTTCCGAAGACGCGGGAAAGACTGGTCAGGGTTCATTTAGTCGTCCAATAAACAGATGAGTGGTGGGACACATGGGGGTCAGAGATGATGCTCTTTTCTCTGCCTCCTTCCCGTCTTCTCCCTCCAATTGTCATCCTCCCCTTGCTCTCTCTGTGTGTGTATTGTTGTTGTTGGCCAACAGCAGATCTATGTTATTGATTGACTCCTTTGGCTGCTGGGCTGCCCACTGAAGGAGGGGGCAGAGCTCTAATGAATTCCTGCACCTCGTGCCCCTTGCGCCAACCCCTACACCCCCTTCTTAATTAACTTTGTGTGTTTGTGTGGGTGTGAGTGCAGGTGGGATGGATTTGTGTGTGTGTGTGTGTGTGGATGCACGCAAGTATGTTTTTCTTTGTGCCTCCTCCCTAGCTATACTCCCCCGCTTTCTTCTCTCCCCTACATTTTTATTTTTTTTTTTTGCTTATCTGCCTTCTCTCTATTCCTCTGCTTTAGCTCTATATCTCCTTTTTTCCCTATCATCTGATGAGTCTGATAGTTGAATGGGGGAACAGACAACTTTATATGGATGTCACTCTTATTTGTCACAGCTCATCCTCTTCTTCCAGCCACTAAATCTAATTGTGATCTCAAGATTGCTCAAATCTGTGTACATGCATACAGAAAGGATATCCATCCTCAGGACTGATCTGAGTGTCATGAAAAATGTCTGGTGTGTGTGTGTATGTGTGTGAACACTGTAGACCCATCGGTATTCCAGACGTGCAGGGAAACTACTGTTTCTGTCACCTTGACCACCTTGATTCCCCCTGCAGTAGACAGCAGCTCTGAGCTGCACAACAGACACTTTTGCCCGAGCTCGACGTAGTTGGAGGAGACACTTTCATTTTCTTCACTGCTCATTTCTGTTTTGCACGCTCCTTCATCAAACTGGTGTTTTCCTTCACTTTATTTATTCCTCATTTGCTGCAAGTGAAATTTCAATTGTCTGTTATGTGACAACCGCACATTTCAATTTATTTAAATGGGATTGTGTGTGATAGACCAGCAAAAAGTAATGCATAATTGTGCAGTCGAGAGAAAATCGCACAGGAGTTTTAGACTTGCTCTCCAATGAAAATCTAAAAAACAGCGGGAAGCATTTTTATTCAGCAGGCCAGCGTTAATACTTTGAAGAACCACCTTCTGCCACTATTGCAGCCGCAGGTCTTTTTGGGCTGTAATTCTCTAACAGCTTTACATATCTAAAGGTGGATATGTTTGCCCTTTCTCTACGCAAAAAAAAATAAAATATCAAGCTCAGTCGGATTGGAAGGAGAACATCTGTGCACATCAGACCAAGTTTGCCACAGATTTTGAGTTGGATTTAAGTTTGAATTTTATTCTAACACACTGATGAAAATGTTCCATTTTAGCTCTGACTATCACTGCCTGAGTTCAAAGTGCTTCACAGCCTCTAGCAGGCTTTCTTCCAGCATGTCCTGTATTTATACTCCCCTCAGCCTCCCATTCCCCACAGAATGATGCTGCTACCACCACCTTTTTCACTGTGTGGTTTCTCTACACTTAAATTTGTGCATTTAGATCAGCATTTCGGTTTCCTGTTTCCATCTCTGTCCTAAGTATGGCAGCAAACATCAGTCAATGCCTTTCTTCTTGCTTCTCTTGCATGACTAATAGTTGTCCTTTTGACAGATTAACCCACCTGAACTGTGGATATTTGCGCTGCTTCTCTAATTGCTGCTCTCTTTTCCCAGTTGGTAAATTTAGGTAAACAGTCATATCTTGGGATGCTTTTTTTTTTTTTTTTTTTTTCTTTTTCTTTTTTCAGCAGGTGGACCCTGAAAGCAATTGTCTGAATTGGATTTTTTTTTACACAGAGGTATTGAATAAATGGTGCTGAACATAAAAGCACACCACACTTTTCAGACTTTTCTAAGTCCTTAAGTAGAGGGTAACTATATATATATATATATATATATTTTTGTTTTTTTTTGCTGAAGACATTTCACCTTTCATCCAAAACACTTCTTTAAAACCAAAAAGGTTTGTGCTAAACACAATGGGGTATGTATACTTTTGCAAGTCACTGCATACCAGGATTTCTGAAGCTTTGTGTTGGGAGCAGTCACACATCATTATGCACCACCTCCCACCCCCTTTAAGGCAAATCTGCATTATCGCTCAGATGTCTGTGTTTGCTTTAGATGTAGACAATCTTTTCCTTCAAAGTCTCTAAGCTAGCGATGTGTCTTCTGTATTTTTCTCCCTCTAAGAGAAAGCAGCCTTGCATCAGGTAAATGTCAATTAGGAGACAGTGTATATCTGTAGATTTGTGTGTGCATGTGTGTTTGGTGCGCCGTTGTCAGCAGTGTTGTCTGACAGTCTTGTAGATCTACAGCGAAATGTCTACGGCTGACAGCGTCTCCCTGCTTTCAGTGACTCCGATAGTTAAATGCGCACATGCAGACGCAACAAACACACAAGCACGCTACGGCTGTGTCTGCCTTTCTCTCTCCCTCTCTCTCATACTGTCTCTTTATGATCTCCTTGTTTTTAGTGTTGACTGGTAATGATGAGATATGTTAGGGAGTCAAGCAGAGAGGGAGATGAATCAGAGCTGTGACGCTTTGGTACTTGCTTCTGAAACCTCTGTGTGTAAATGTTGATTTTATTCTTTTTTTTTTTTTCCATTTTGCACTTCAGTTGTTTCCATCATCAGGTCAAAGCCCTTAAACTGCCAAAGTGACAACTTCATGAGCACATTGTAAGAGTTTTGGGGGTTTTAACATGCCTTTTTCATCCGCTTTGTCAAGAGTGACAGGATTTTCAGCCTGTAGAGAAGCATGTAATCCCTGAAATTAATTATCAGTGTTCTCTGGGAGACATCAAACGTTATTAAATTTCTTTTTCAGACACTAAAAACATTTTGAGTCACTGAGTCAGATGTGAATACTCATCCTTTGTTACCTCCTTGTTTTTTTTTTTCCCGTTCAGGGGCAGACGTGACCGAACCCAACAGCTCAGACAGCCGCGGCGAGCGCCTCGATTTCTTCCTCAAGCAGGAAGAGACTCTCGCCACAGAGTCGAGCTTCCTGGGCGCCAACGAATCGGAGGAGCCAAGCGGAGGGGCGGGAGGCGGAGCCATCTCATCCGTAGCCAATCTGAAGGCAGCGCTGATGAGTAAGAACAGCCTGCTGTCGCTGCGGGCTGAGATGATGGGAGATGATAACCCCTTGCTGTATGAGTACCTGCCCAAAGGAGGACACTCCCTGTCCTGTAAGTATCTATTTACAGAAGCTGTGCTCACACTGCTTGTTTCGCACATCTGAGACACGCCATCTAACTCACAGTATATGCATATGTCGATCCCCTAGATGCAGCATACAGTGCCTTGCAAAATCCTTTAAATTTTACCTTTAAACTTTTTTTTATCACATTAACAAAGTTTACTGTGACACTCCAAAACAAACTAGTGAGTACCTGTGACATGCAAGGGAGAGAATACATGGTTTTCAACTTTTTTTTGCAAATAAAAACCTGAGAAATGTGGCATGCATATGTATTTATCCCCCTTTATTTTGACACTCCTAAATAAAATTTTGCGTAAACAAATCACCCTAACACTATTCCCACAGTGATGCATCGTGGCAGCAGCATCATGATATGAGAATGCTTCTTTTTCCCCGGCAGAGATATTGAAGTTGTTTAGAAGGTAGATTGAGCTAAACACAAGTAACTCTTGGGAGGATTTAGGGGTGTGTTAACTTGTGAGTGCTGACTATAGGCATCTGAAGTTTTTTTTGTTTGTTTTTTGTTTTTTTTTTGTTTTTTTTAATGTGAATGGATTTGTGTGCACATGTATGTTTGTTGGATATATACCTGTTGTGTATAAGTGCACATATATATTGGTTTATTAGATTAAAGGTTTTTTCTATTTCATTAACATAAAGTTCGCTTGGATAGACGTCCTTTCAGGATTGTAGTGTGGCCACCATCCAGAAGAGGGAACCGCTGCTCATTTTTAAACAAAGCCAGCTGATGGTTGTAAGAGAAACAATCGTGGCAGAGGTATCCCACGGAGGAAGGTGAAACGGTCCAAAACTGGGTGTGGAATTATTGTACTCCATTTAATGATGACATAGATGCAAAAGTCACTGTATGTGGTGATGTTGTGAAATATATATAAACACTCGAAAATCTCCTTAAGTTATCATAGCGCTCATTCGGCCGAGCTGCATTGCAGACAGCATCAAAATTTCAACCAAAAATGCATAAATCAGAGGGCATTAAGCAAAAAACAGAAAACAAAAACGTTTTAACATCATAGATAAAGACGTAGTACCAATGACCAGGGTCGATGGTAAGGGCTTTCTTGTTCATTTTTTATCGTTTCTTTGAGAACAACAATAAGCGCCCGTTTAGAGGCGCACTATAACCAGAAGCCTGTTAGTGTTTTTGCATAATGTGCAATTACCAGTCCTCCCAGGGATATTTAAAGTTGTTTTTTATTTTCATAGTTTGTTTTTGAGTTAGTCCTTAACTTAAATTATAGTTTTCTTTGGGGATTAAATGTTTTACATATTCTATTCTTTTCCTCTTTTTTTCCTATTCAACAACCTAATAGTTTCCTGTTTAAAAGTGTGTGGTGGGAAAAAAAACAACAAAAAAAAAACCCGTTTTTATTTATTTATTAAGTCCGTATTTAATACAACTGAAACAATAAATTAAAATGGAATGATGTGCTTCTTAAAATATTAAAAAATTCATAATATTGCAAAAATGTTATGGAAAAAACCCTATGATACGAGAGAAAACTCTTGAATGGTGACTGCAAAGTGTTGACTCAGGATGACTGAATACAAATGCAAGAGACACTTTGCAAGGTTTTATGGAAGAAGGAAAAAAAGAGCAATTGAACACCATGTTCCTTTTCCTTTAATTGCTCCATTGTAACATGACAAAATGAAAAACAAATACAATTGACATGGTACTGTTGCAAGGCATTGTATGTAGCGGTTTTTGTCCTTAGTAGCACTAAATCACTATGAGCCAGTTTACTAGGTTAGACCTCAATGCATGTGTGTTTTTAATGTGTGCGTGTGTTCGCGTGTGTGATGCCATGGCTACTCGGCAGTGACTAAGTGAGAGAACATTTTGCAAGGCTCTCTCTCGCTGTCTCGAGAAAATTTTCTTGTTTTTTTTTTTTGTAGCCAGTCGGTGGGTCTGCCACTGAACTTCACAGAGGCAAAATAAACCAGCAGAACAACCACTCAGACTGACATAAGCTCATATTGCTCCACTTAGCCACATTAAAAAACACCAACTTTTGCATGCTTTCAAAAAAAAAAGTCTTTCAAACACAAACATGTCTTTTGTTTTGATTCCAAAAAGTTGTTCTTGACAAATGTCCTTAAAATACATATTTTAATTTCATGTATGTCTACCACTTTAAATCTGATTTTTGCAGAGTTGTACAATAAGTTTATTTGTAGTTATTTTAGAATTTGCACAAAATGTTTTTTTTGTCTTTAAATGTAAGGATCTACATTTAAATGCTGATACATCTGCATTTAAATGTTGATACATCTACAATGTAAATTGTATCAAGAAGCTTGATCTACATTGTATCAAGCTTCTTGGCAATTAGTCTCGTACTATCAGAAAGCTGTTTTATTTCCTTTTCAATGGGATATTTGAAAGGAAAGCACATTTGTGGGTTGAGCAGGAGAGTTCAGTTGGTGGTTTCCTTGGTAAATCCTCTTTGCCAATACAAATGAGTGAAGTTAGTGTGACAGTGTGATCATACGAGGAGTGGAGAGAATGGAATAGCATGTCCTCAACGCCATTAAACAGTTGTGGGATCATTCTGGGTGTGTTCTTTGTGACAGAGCGACACAAGTATGCCGGATGACTTGTGGGAAATGCTGGTTGAAGAATAGGATGCCATCCCACAACAGTTTGTGACCAAGCTAGTGATTAGCATGGGAAGGAGGTGCCAGGCTTTTGTCATTTTTATACGGTTTTCCCATGCATCGCTAAGACCCGTGTTTGCCACGTGGATATGGTTGTAAATTACCAATATGTCTCATTTCTACAAACTTGAATTCTTTAGCCAATAAATGATTGATGCTGACAAAAAAAAAATCTCTTTCTGTATTGAATGGTTTCAGTAATTATCACGATGCATTTTCAAATGAAATGACTTGTATCTAAGATATAATTGGCTTAAATGCAAACTCAAAATACACATTAACAATAACTAGTGAGATTAAATTGTCAAACTGTGCACTAAATTCTCTTTAAAAATTTGAGTTAGTGAATTAATCATGCCAATGTCAGCTATAAAAATGTACAAATACCATTTAAAGTACTGTTTGCAAATGCATATATGTTTGACTACAATCAGAAAATAATGCAATCAAGTTCACACAATTGTTTGCAGCCTCTACTCCATCTTACAAAAATTCTTAAATCGTGATGCCCCACATTTTGCCTGTTAGCCCTCATGTATTGACTGTCTTATTGAACTTTACATTTTCTGTTTCTCTATGAATTATTGAAGTCGTCTTTTTGCCTCGTTCTAAATTACACCAAACAAAAGTCAATAGCTGAATAAGCATTTTGGCATTGGCAGAGAGGATTTGGCAAGTTTTTTATGAATGCAGCCCACATAGTTAACTCCACAGCTCGACTCACAAATGCGTCTTCCTCACCAAAGTCACACCATTTAGAAGGAAGAATAAACCTTTCCAACAGTCTAAAAATTATTACTGAAAAAACACTGAAACAAAAATAAAGTAATCAATCAAACACATTTTTCCTTTCTTCTTCTGCTTACTTTATATTTGCATTTGATTAGATGTTTTTCTTTTGTTTTTGCACAATTTTTTTCCATCTATTTGAATGTTTTTAACTTTTCATACTGCATCAGTAATAACGTTGAGTTCCTTAAGTCATTGTTGACTAAACCGTTTTATATTTATCCGTGTTAATAATGCATTCATGCCCTGCAGAACGTGTGTGTAATTTGTCTGTAACAAGAGATTTTCTGTATTTTCCCATTTTCTTTGCTACTCGTGGAGCGTGTTAAACTGTCAGTGTGTATGCGTGTGTGTGTGTGTGGGTGCATGGTAGTGTGAGCGTGTATTTGCTAGAGTCCAGGTCCGCGTGGGCACATTTTGTGAGCTCAACTTCTGGGTTTGTTTCTTTTGCTTTTACTGCCATGTAATTGGATCTTTTGTCCTGAGTTCTCCCTGTTTTTGTGAGTGGAAGAAAAGATGAGAAAGGGTACAACTCCGAGCCCAGTCACATCTATTGAGCTGAGCCCCACTCACCTAAGCCATAAAAGACTGGGCCAAGCCTGAATGGACCAAAACACACACTCGCCATCGTGCACGCTCGCGCGCTCGTGTCCCTTCGCATCACCTCTTTTGTGTGAGTGTTAAGTGTGTGGGATTGAGATGTTTCTGTTGGCTCACGGAGGAGAATCAGATGCTGTCGCAGCACAGACAGCCTCAGAAAACACAAGTAGAGGCTTTTGGATATGCTTTCAGACTTTACAGATACAGTCAGCCTTGACTATCTGAATAAAAGATTTGGAGAATTCTGAGAATGTTAATCATTTGTTCCCTGCATGGGAAAGTGTCCTGAATGAGCCCTGTATCTGTATTTCAGTTGTCACCAAAGAAACCTCAGGGAGGGTTTTTTGGTTAGCCAAATACTATTTTGTATTCACTACACAATAGGGGTTGGGGAAATGGGCTTGCTGAGATGGCCAACAGCCTCCCCTCCCACCCCAGGTCTGTCCCTGTGTCTAAATGAGGACAGAGGATAAACAAACACTGTACCTCAGATTACTGGGCGGAGGAGAAGTCTGCCTGCTTTGACAGATCACTGTTCCCATCGTTGCTCCCTCCCTCTTTCTATCCATTCGGCTCCATTCGCCCCTTCGCCTGCCTTCTCTTCTTTCGCCCCCGATGTACATCTCATCCCTCTCCTGCTGTTTCTCTCCTTTTTCCCCTCCATACATTTCTCCTTCACCCCACCTTAACACCCATTCCTTCCCATCCTGCATTTTCTCATTTTATTTTCTTCTGGCCCTTTCCCCCTCTTTTTACTTCGGCTGGGGAACATCAAAGCATGTTGCTGTAAAATCCTGGGAAAGTATTGATCTGGGCAGAGTGGAGGTACAGCAAGGTCACTTGCTCTGATTCAAGAGAGCCCAGGAAATTTTGCAAAAGGCCTTGATGCAGAGCTTCTGTTGCTCTTTTTTTTTT